GCCGTGTGCCCCGGGAGCAGGCCCATTCAACGTGCGCCCAGGGGCGGCGCTGCGCGCCCAGCCTGTGGCGCCAAAATGGCTCAGGCCGGCCCTGGGTGGAAGAAGGAAAAAATGGGAGATGAGGAGGGGGACAAGAAGAGGCAGTGGGAAAGCCTAGATGGAATGTAATAGGAAAAACAAATAGTTTCTAAGAACCTAAAAGGCTGGATAGTCAAAAGAGGCAGATAAGAGCCATTAACTAGCAAACAACAAATGGTCAGGTAACACTTAAGGACTGACAAAATATGTAGATGGTATCATGAGATTGGTCCTGGACATCCAACACTCTGGTCATGGGAAGAAGTGGGCTGTGCCCATGAAAGCTCAAGATACCATCTGCATGTTTTGTTAGTCTTTAAAGTGCTACCAGACTATTCGTTGTTTTTTAAGTTTATCCTGTACCGACTAACTCAGCTACCCCCTGAAGCTTCTGGAATTCCAGCAACTGGAATAGTCTCACTGCCTCTCTCTGCTTTGTTGACTATGCATCTCATTCAAAATCTCAGCTAAAAACATTTATTTTCTCTCTTTTCTGTATAACTTCACTCTCTATCTACTAATATTTATTATTCTGAAACTACATTTAACTCTTAGAAAACATTTTTGGGTGCAGTTTATATAAAAGATACTATATATAGTAGGGATGTAAAATCCCATTTAATTGGTTAAACAAAGGGAGCGAGCAGCTGGGCCTCTCCAGCCTGCCGCTGGGCTGGAACACCACTCCTCTTCCACAACGCAGGCAGGCACTGCTCGGGCATCCTGGTCAAAACAGCCCCTGCCTGCAGGATACCCTGACTTGTTGTATATAGAGGCTGCTCTGATTGGGATGCTGGAGCAGTCCCTGCCTCCTCTGGCCAACCAGGACACCTCTCAGGCTGCCCCTTGCAGGGCTGGAGTAGTCCCCTTCCTGCAGCAGATGGGGAACTGCTCCAGCCCCACCAGTTAATCTGAACCGGTAAACCTCGTCTGTTAAGGATGAGGTTTATCAGTTAACTAGTTAAACCTTCACATTTCTAATACATAGTAAAGTTAAATTTAATATTTCAAAGAGACTTGGAACAGATATTGGGCCTGATATTTTTAGTTTGTATTTGGTGATGCTATCTAGAGTAAAAAAAAGTGTTTTTTAGGATTCATGCTGGAACAGCTGTCCACCTGCTGCGGGCAGGAGGCTGCTCCAGCCCCACTGGTTAATCTTAAGTACTTAGACATCTTCAGTCATTTCCTTGACAAGTTTGACCTACAAACACAAGTAGTTACAGCAGGCATCTTGTCATTTTCTTAGTTCTGTAAGATCCTTTTGTAATCAGGAAAGAGTTATACAATCCTCTTGTGAAACATGTTGCAGGTATAGCAAATTTCTCTTTTTTCTCTTCCAGGATTAAGTGACGGTTTAAAAATGACAACTTCATGGAGTGACAGACTCCAGAATGCAGCAGATCTTCCTGCAAATATGGATGGGCATGCTATGAAAAAGTACCGTCGGGAAGCCTATCACCGGTAGGTAATTCATGTAATGAAAACTATGCCGTATTTTATAGGGTTAGGGAAATGAAATGTAAAAGAAATTTCTGATTGCCATCTTGTTTACTGGCAGATACTTGAAAATGACTTATTTCCACCCATTCAGGAGTTATCTACTGGGCACCAATACTACATGTTCTATACAATATATATGACAACATGATACCTGCCTGCAGGAATTGTCAGATTAAATAGTTGAGATGCATGTGGTACACTGTTAGTACTGCAGTGGAAAGGTTAATCACAAGCTAAGTTTTGCAATGGAAACTATCATTCATTTTTTTCCAAGTTGATATTTATCTTTTAGGAAATTGCCAATAGTGCAGATGTTTTTCAAGGGTCAAAAGCAAAGTGGATTAATGCTAAATGTGGCAAGGGCCTTTCTTTCTCTTGCCAGCCTCCTCACTTCTCTCCTTTGGTGAGATGGGTCTTGTGTAAAGCACTCTCTATCTGCCACATTTGGGCAGACAGCCTTCTCCTTATAGAGGTTTAGGCAGCCTCTCCTCCTGAAGCTGCTCACTCCCCTGCCGTCTCTGGCTTAGTAGATGTTTGGCTGTGTGTACCTGTCATTCCTCTCTCCTCCTCCTCCTTTCTACCAATAGAGTAGGGTTTAAAAGGTCTCAGGCAGTACCTGAAATGGAATCAGCTTATCCTAGTTGGTCCAACATGGCCCTGTCTCAACTGATCCTAATCTACCTGAGACGACAACCCCTTTTTAGCTGATCCTGATTGACCTACTTCTAATTAATAGGGGAAAAGGCCTTTTACCTTGCTAGGGTTGCCTTTTCCCACTCTGTTGTAGCCATCTGGCCTAATTTGTCTCACAAAATAATTGTAAACAACTGAAACTGACAATAGCACTGCAAACAGCAGTGATAAACACACTTCTTTTATGCAATACAAACAAACCACTAAAAATATGAGTCTAAAATGCATTCCATTTACACTAATATCAAGAATAACATATGCATGCTTAGGCTCTTCATTCCTTTTTAAATGCATTGTGTAAAATCTCACAATTTTATTGTGAATCTTGGTATTTGTTTTAATGACTCAGTTGCTGAAGAAAGCAAGCTGAGAGTCAGTCCTTTCCCTTTCCTCTTTTGCATATCACTATTTACATTTTTTTGTTTACTTCATGCATTTCATCCATCTTGGACAAAAGAAATAGACCAGTAACACTTTCTGGTTCTCCTTCAAATGCTTGCTCATGTCTATTCTACGTTAAGTGTATGTGCTTACCACATGCACTGTGCTATCTGTAAGGGACCAGCTCTGGCACTCTCTGGAATGGAGTGCATATGCCACAGTATAAAAGGTGCTGCTAACTCCCCTAATCCTCATTTCCTTTTTCTCGCCAGTGACGGTGTTGGAACTTCTCCTTGCTTCAGCAAACCTTCTCTTCTCAAACTCTTGCTGTGAACTTCTCTCCCTATAAATAGTTGAGAATTGTTAGTGGTTTCCTTTAACGTAATTGTTCCCAGATGGTACTTAGCTTAGGGATGGGACATGCCCTGGTCCTTGGGCTTCATACCCTGTGATCACTGTAAAAAGCCTGTGCAAATCAGTGATCTTCATAGTGGCTGCGTGAAGTGCCTAAGTGAAGCTCACAAATGTGTTGTATTTGTAAAGACTTCAAGCCTCAAACAAAAAGGGAGCGGGGCATATGTCTTGGAGCACTCCTTATGGTGCTGGCATTAGCAGCAGAGCTGTCTAGATCAGACTCTGCTCCCAGCACCGTGGCATCTGTGCAGAACACTCCTCCAGTGCCATCTTCAGACCCATGCCAATCCCCCGTCCTGTATCTGACTAAAAAAGCAAAGAAGGACCAGGAGGGGATGGTCTCCTACATTCTGTGAAGGGAAGGAGAGGGTTGGATGGGAGCAAAGACCTGAGAAGGGCAGCTCCTTACCTCCAAATGAGTCAGGCCCTGGCTCAAGTCAAGTGGGCTACCCCACCTGAGAAGCACCTGTCACCTTGGATAGTGGCACGGGTGTTTGGCACCTGAGGTCCTACAGGCAGTGCAGGAAATCCTGACACTACTGCTGCTGCCCATACCAACTTCATCATGCTTTTTACCAACATTACATCTTACCATAACATTTGGAATCAACTGTTTGAGATGCTGTACTTTTTGGGTTATGTCACTCTGGTTGATGGGGGTAACACTTAACATTATTGACAGAAATTCCACTCTTGAGACTAGTTTAACTGGTGCAGAATATTATGACTCGAGTCTGATGCCTAGAACAGTCTACAGACAAAGAACGCTCAAAATGAAACCTCTATAGATGGTTTTCCCTCCTTTTCCTCTCCCCCCCCAAAAGAAAAGGTTTGCTTTGTTATTAAGTTGATTTGTTCAGCTGTTCAAGGAATTACAATCCCATGGTGACATTACCAGATAATTTTAACAGAGTACACTAAGAAAAGCTTGAAAACATTGAATCTTAAAGGAACCTGAAGGAAAATAAAAAGATCCCAAAAAACCCTCTGAGTCTCGGCCAAAATATGAGGAAACTGCATGAAATGTTAGTTTGAATTTCATTGATGGCACTCCCTTATTCTCTGAACTCATAAAAGTCCACAAGAATGCTATAAAATAACAACATGAAGAACTATCAAAGCCAATAGTCAAGGATTATTTTCATCTTCAGAGTAAAGATTCCTATGTGCACTTCCTAGATGTTCCTTTAAATGGAACACCTTTGTGAATGTTGATATCAATTACAAGCCTTGTTATATGATGATATTGAAATCTCTTAATAGGCAGTGCCTTAAGATGAATCAACATGGCGACAGAATTACATCTAGCTTCTGATGGAAGTCATATGTAAGAAGACACTACATTGCTTTAAGCTGGTGCCATAAGTTTGAATGTGAAAATAAAATTCATGTGTCACTATCAGGAAGCTCTCCTTAAATTTGTGCACATTCAAGGCCTCCTCCCCTGTCCAGTATGTTACCTGGGTTGTAGATAATCGCTATGCCAATCCCTCTGTATGACTATCATTTAGCATGATTGCAATTAGACAGGAACTAGATTGACTATGAGCCACCAAATTGTCCTAGTGTCTGGTTTTTTTTTAACTTGGAGTGAACACTTCTGGGCTCCCACATATAGTTCTTTGGAGTTTTCAGAAACGTCTACAACTAGCTGAAGTTGAATAATGGATAAAATTGGGGGTTTATCTACTCTTGTCACTGTCAGTTACCAAGAAACAGCAACCAGGTATTTGCTTCTGTTTTATTTTATGTTATGTTAACTTTGGTTTAGCTGTGCAGTAAGACTGAAAAAGCAGCGAGGAGTCCTGTGGCACCTTATAGACTAACTGAAGTGTTGGATCATAAGCTTTCGTGGGCAAAGACCCACTTTGTCAGATGCACTATCAGGAAGCTCTCCTTAAATTTGTGCACATTCAAGGCCTCCTCCCCTGTTCAGTATGTGGACTCAGTAGGACTGAGTGGCTCATTCATTAGAAATTCAGGTGTTGAGATATCTTTTGCCATTTTGAATCACATTGGGTTGTCATTTAGTTTGAAATTTATCAGCCTGGGTATAGTTGGTTTATTTTAAGTTAGTGGTGAGGGCAGAAAACTGGCATTCAAGATTTCTGAGTTCTAAATCCCACCTCTGTCACTGACTTGTAATATGATCTGTCAGTTCATATTTCTTTGCCTTGGTTTATCTGTATAATATCACAAACATGTTGTATGAGTTAAATCAATGGTTATCAATTTGCGATCTGCGGACCCTTGAGCATTTGCCAACTTTAAGATTTTCAAAGGGGTCTCTGTCTCTATTTGAAAATTTTTAGGTGTCCGCAAATGAAAAAAGATCAACAATCACTAAACTAAGTAATTTATACTAGTAACATGCTTTAAGATCCTCAGTTAGAAAGTACTAAATAATAATAAATAAATAATGATGACAAATTACAACTAAAATTAATAATGATAAAATAACTCAATTTGAAAATGTCCCATTTTGACCAGCTTTGATAGTTCCAGGGCACAGATCAATGTTGTTTTGGGATCAAATCCAATATATGAGCTGCTCAGCAGCTTGCTATCACTTGGGAAGAAAGCCCAAACAATGGGATTAGAAATGGACAAAACTAGAATCTTAATTCTGAATTTGTTTGAATTTCAGAGAAGAGCTCATATTCATATTTCTAGACCTTAACCTTGTCTTTGCTGGTCATTGAAGATATTTGTATTTAAAATAAAGATGTAACCAACCCCCAAACTTTGAGGAAGTTGAAATCCAGATCCAAATTTTCTGTTAGCCCCTGATTTGGATGAATTCAGCCAAAACTAACCACTACAGTCTTTTTTTTTTCAAGTAGAAATATAAAATGTGCCCCCTCTCACCACAACTATAATCCCAGTAAAAGGCACTACTTAAAATAATCATTGTTTAAAAAGAATACCTATCGTCCACTTTGCTTGTTCTCAGACATGTTTTAAAAATGCAGTTATGCAAGTAGATTATCTCCCTGCCCCCACTGTGTTAATTTTCTTTCTGTTACTCAGAGGCATTGGAAGGCACGCCAAGTTCCCTGCTCAGTTGTGCAATCCATGTATATTTCACGGTACAGGAATGCTGCATGTTTATTTCATAGAAGCCTCACAATGCTTCTTGAGCTTTTGGTTAAACAAAATAAACAGGCTTCTTAATTTTCTAGGCCTTCCAGAGTAAGAACTAGCTATATGTTGAGAATTTTCTATTCAAACATGTTAATAGAAAATCATTAATTTGTTTCAAAACCAAGATCACCTCCTTTGTAAAGATAAACAGCACAGGGATTTACAGCACAGGGATAAACAGCACAGGGATTTACAGCACAGAGCATCTACACTGCCCGCCTGCTCTTGCGCAAGGAAATTTACAGTATGGCGTGGTAAGAGAGGGCTTCTTGCGCAAGAGCTACACTCTTTTTTAAGAGGTGTAAAGCCCTCTTGCGCAGGAACTCTTG